AGGTGTGGGAACCTGTGGTCACATCTGTACTCCTTTGATGCCACTAAAAGGTAATTTAATACACCAAGCTGCAAATCAGGTGAACAAACCTGTCTGAAAGGGGCTCATCGGGGCACCTGAGTTATCTGTGAAAGCATACACGAAGGGAATGAAAAACTATACATCTTGCAAACTGCTAGGTAACAGTTTATTTTCAGAAGAGATCTAGCCCACCATTCTCGCAATCAATACAAAGGGGGAGTTGGCTGCCTGCAGAAGTGCTTTCTGTGGTATAAACAAGTGCACTCAGAGTGCAAAGACTGTCTTTATCTATCTTCCTTTAAAATTATTCTCTTCTGTTGGAGTAGGAGCAGTCTATGCAACTGCAACTCACTGTTGCCATAGATCAGCATTGTTTCAGCTTAGACTTGCTAATTAAAAAAAGGGGTGGGGGGAAACAGAATTAAGAAGAACAAATTTTGCTACCCTTTGATAGCACAGCTAATTATTCAAACAGCAAATCACAGCTAGCTGGCGTTTGGCTATCAGAGGTTACTCCTCCATTTCACACTGCTTTCATGTAAGACATGCCAGGAGGAGGGACAAAAAAACATTTGAACCTGAACCGCTATTAATAAAAAAAAAGTTAGGGAATTGATGGCCCTATTAAAAAAAAAAAAAACCCACCACGAAATGATGTCAAGTGTTCAAAAAACCCAGTTTCAGGAAGACAACAGCAGCTTCCTGGGCAAGTGTAAACTTCTCCTAGTAACTTTCACAGAAGTAAGATTTGATCTTTAGTCCATTGTGGTCTATCTGGCTGCCACCCTAAATAGCAGCTGTATTTCCGTAACAGAGGAGGACTTTAGTCATGTAAATTTTCCCTCTTAAGCCAAAGGGCTGCCCACAGGATAGGCGAGACTCAGCCTTCAGTTTGTAAAGAATGTTGTGCTCCTGTATGAGAAAAGGTACTGTGTGAAATTAAGCTTTCCCAAATCCAGAACTCTCACTGCCAACACAGAGAAGGAGAGGGAATCAGCTTTACTGCCTCTGTGACCCTCCACCAGCCCAAACCCCTAGATCTCTCATGCTGGAAGGTGAAAGGATCTCTCCCTGAGGTTGTTCATGCTAACTTGGTATCCTGAATCTGGGGCTCTTATTACAAGTCTGTATGCAAACAAATAGATATTTACCAAAAAGATAAATCAAAAAACAGTTTCAAAGCAAAACACTCTCCCTTTTCCTCCCGAAACTGGCCTGTAACTTGAATCCCTTGGGGTAATTTTGTAATGCAATCTTACTTTGCTCTAAAAGATGAAGCCAGCTGGGCAGCGGGGACAATGTTTCTGTTTTGTGTGGCATTTAGTATCTGGGCTGGAACTCAGCGTGTAGGCATTTCTCCTCCCCTCATATTGCAGCTGAATGGCTCTGCTGTGTTGATTTGAAATGACCTAACTAATCTCAACTTCCTCTAACAGTTTAATGAAATGTCAGAAGTGAACAAGGTCCACGGAACTGAAAAAAGACCATTCAAACAACGATGAAAAGAAACACACGGACAGCAGTTTTCAAATGGTCTTTAGGCAATTGGAAATAATTCAATTAGCTTTAGCCAAGTTGCAGTATAAACATAGTAAGAAGCAACTGAAAAATGCTTTATACAAAGCCACGTTTTTCATCTGGATTCTAATCTACTTCAGGATTACAGAGTGAGACATATGGGAAAAGCCACAGTTAGGTAAGTTAAGAAAAAGATCCTCCCTTACCCCCTCAGATCAGTTGGTGTTCAGAAGGACAAACCACAGAGCAACTGTGGCTACGTAGCCCTGGTTCCATCATCTGAAACTGTAGCAGCTTGGGGTAGAAAGGCTCTGGCAGAAGTGAGTCCTGCTCCTTTCCAAGGAAATTTTAATAGTGTTCTCAACTGCAGAAGAAATTAAATACGCCGATCATGACTCCAACCTCATGGAATACCAACTCAAAGGGAAAAGCTTACAGTACTCTCCCCAGTCAAGCACAGTACAATGAGCTACAATAAACACACGTTGGTGTTTGGCAGCATCATTAATATTTTACTTCATATTAGGAAGTTATTTAGAGCTCTGCTACAATAGCATTTTCATTACGAAAGACAGCCCCCACTTTTCAAGAACGATCCCATGGAAATGAATTTCTGCTTCTGACTGAAGGTAATAGGGACACTACTTTCCTGATATGGTATAAAATCTCTTAGCTATTACCCAAGCATAAGATCCTCCCCATTACTATTTTTCCTCAGGTGCTTTCATACCCATTATAACCACAATAGATGTTTAGTGTAATTGTCCCAAAAGGCAAAGATATGCTTTCCAGAGTTTAACATATCGCTCACCTCCCGTATTACTATTTGACCGCAAAACAAACGTAGCCATTGCAGCATTAGTCTGACTGTACAGTAAACAGGACTGTTTGAGACTTCTCTGAATGCAAACCATATTGGAAAGACTTGGCTCTCTAAATTACTATGGGAAGCCTCCTTCCTGTAGCAGCTCCAGCATCCAATTACACCATTAACCGCCTCCTAACTTTCCACTATTATTCCAGGTTAGATGGACATTCACCAACACAGGCCTCAAAGGAGTTCTAAGTGACCTTTGAGCTGACTGCACATTCCTGAATTTTAATTAACGTTTGCCCAAAATCCAACGCTCAAAGTTAGGAGATGCCAAATCTGAGCAATGGTAGAGAACCAGCCATCCTCACAACCTTTAAACTCTCAAGTTGACACCCTGTGGAAAAAGTTACATGATCACATAATCAAAAGCCAGCCATTGTGCAGAGACCTGGCAGAAGAGGGAGCAAACTGCAGGCTGGGTACGCAAACTGTCAATTCAACAAAGCTTTCAGCACTGCAACGAACTGCCATTATCTTGATGTACTTTTTGTAGGTGGAGTTTGAAAGGCTGAATTTAAAGAAAAAAGAAAATTGTTACATAGAACATCCTATCTTAACCCCCACCTCCCACCTAAATGATCCGATGTTTGAGCCCTGAATGCTCATTTCTGCTGCACACTTCATTTAAGTTACAGGATGAAATACATTAAGTAGCACCCAGGCACATATTAATCCAGGTAAAGCAGTAAAAATGAATTTGTTGGAACAGATGCATCTTTGAGTGACTGACAAAAGCAAGAGGAAACAGAACTAATGAGCAAAGGAGAGATTTTTGAAGCCTGCTTGAAGATGAAAGGATGAATCTGGACCACTACAGTATTAAGAAAATGAAACACATGATTTTAGGTCATTACAGAAAGGCAATGAGGTTACTGCAAGCTTGGACGTGGAAAAGGTAATTTCTTCTAATATCCTTGCTAAGAGCTGAGATACTGCAATGGGGGCTGAAGGCTGACATAGAAACCCAGTGAGCTATGCCCTTAGACAGAAAAACTATTTCTGCTCAACACAAGGCTCTCACTGAAAAACTAATCTCTTAAACTAAGTGCATAGGCCACGTGTAATCACCTAGACCTTCTTGCACAGACGTGTGCCAGTAACTGCTCTTGGAGCTTCCTGGGAGTTTCCCTGGCTATTGACGCTGTGGCAATTCCTAAAGGTCATGCTGGGTTAATTCCTTATGTATCCTGAGATCTGGATTTTAACCTGATGATATCAGCATAAATGATTACAGCTGCTTGAGCCTCACGCAATGAAACTCAGTTTGCATCGCAGAGTTACCACATAATATGGAGGGTTGGATTTTCAGAGCTCAGTGAGGTGGGGTTGCTGCCAAACAAAGAGCCTGGTAACCTTATGAAGGAAAACGTGGTATCTTACTCAAGGCATGGCACCTTCAAAAGCCGACAGTCTTTCACCTCTTAGCTTTCTTCAGCAAAACTCAAATGTAAAGACAGAATATAGTATTTCCAGGAGAATTTATTTTTCTTCTATGGAAAAAAAAGAATAAATGACATTGCACAATATACTGTTAGGTCAATGTATTTTTTTTTTTTTTTTGCTATAAATTACATGATGATTTGATGGAACAGAGAATATAAGGAACTTGAATTAGCAGGCCATCACTGGAGGTAGCAGGGGCAAGTGGGATGAAGCATGTGTGTTTGTGGAGAACTACATTTTATGCTAGCATGAAAGGACACACTGCAATTTACTTCTGGTCTAACTTTTAAGCCATTTAAGCTGCCATTAAATTTTAAAATATTACTTTATAATTTAAGATGTTATGATTGTTGTCAAAGAAAAGAAAGTATCGAAAGCTTTGCTCTACTCACACACACTTAATTTGCTTTTGGCATTTGTGAATATCCCAACTGCATGTAGTAAAATGAAAAAAAATACTTTCACATAAGTATACGTACTTCAGGTGATGATAATGTAATGAAATATTTGCTATCACTTTAATACTTATCAGTTTATAATTAAAACCAAAACTGTTAGAAAGGCCTGTATAAGTAAGTGGTGCAGCAAAAAAAACCCAAAAAAAACGTATTTTTGTAACCCAGACCTAACACGGGCTTTTAAAAAACGTAATGTGCTTCTAAATATTAATTCAATATCATTGTATGTTGCACAATTGGAAAAGAGACAATTAAGACATATCGGCATGAAGTCCGTTCTTGTTTGGGAATTTCTGTTGAAATACTAGATCTTATCAAAATTTAACTCCACTGAAATCAACAGGCATTTTACTATCAACTTCAATAGCAGGGATCAAATGGAATCAAATCCAGAAGGAAGATACAAGGGCATCAAATTAAAGTATCTGCATAAATAAGGGTTTGTACCTAAATTAAGCATTGGACCTGTAATTAGTAAGCACATGAAACTCCAGCTTAGGTTCATGCAAGTCAGACCAACGATGCTAGAAATCCTACAACTGTTCTCCCTTTAGTTCGGTGTTCAATTACTCTTCTATATCAAACAGCTGCTGAGGCTTAGCAACATTACCGCTGTAGAATGGTCCAGATTTCTCAAAAAAGGAGAAAGTTTTTGGAAAAGAAAAAATATAGAGGGGGTAACTTACGAAATATGCTATTGAGAACGTTGAGGGAATGCCACCATCACGTTGTGTGTAGTGATGACTACCTAGACATTCAAATAAGAAGGTTAACTCAAATTTTCTGGGAAAGGTCAGACTCAGTCCCTAAAGAGCAGACGTGTATGCCAGTGCTAATGGTTGGGCACTGCAGGATAGACTCATTCTGAGAGAGTGAAAAGGGTGGACAGATATGCCTTAGAGAATAAGGAAACCAAGCAGTGGAACATAAGAGTACACAGGGAAAATAACAAGGATGGGGGCAAAAATGTCTCTCTAATAGATGGTGGGTATATTTCCAGTTCTGATCTAAAAAAAAAGTTCCACAGGACAAAAAGGGAATCCGAAATAATTATCCTATTCTGCAGATATTACTTCAGATCCGTTTGCTCTTGTATTTCATACAAATCAAAGGACGTTTAAGAAAGCCAGCATCCTCCACACAGTTTGAGGAGCCTAACTCAAACACGTCCGCAAAATTACTACAAAAAAATCAAATAATTTCCCACAGAAACAGAGTAAATTATCTACGTTATGGTTTGCACTGTCTTTCAGATAGAAATAAAAATTCTTATCCTGACATTTCATTTGCCTTCCCAACTCAATTCCCAATTCGCAAACATTGCATCACTCCAACTTTTTTTCTTCTTTTACTCATGTTGGAGTTTGGTGTTGCTTAGAGTCCTCTTGCAATCATTCTACGTTTGCTGATTTTGTTTTTAATAGACTGAAACTCTGTACTGAAGTTTTTGCTCTCCCTCTCACCTTAAAAGATGAGATTCTGTGAGTACCTGGCAACTTAATGATCGTTTTGGAATAAGACTCAGACCCCAGGTGGCAGGCAAAGGAAAGTGTCTGTGGGCACACACACATGTACACACTCTTAGTTAGTAAACAAGTTAAAAAACAAACAAACAACAAAGCCTTTTCCAGATTCCTTCAACTTCTGTTAAGAATTATCTAAAACTTATTCCATTTAGTCCACAATTTTTCAAGTGTTGTAGCTTTGCCTGTGCTACTTTTCTCTTCAGGTCCAAAATGTTTGGACTAACGTAGTTGAAGAGTGCAGTGAGAGATCACTGATCACTAGATTAAGGAGGAGGAGGAAGAAAGCCTACGATGAACATTGCATCCAGCATACACCCACGAAAGCACACTCAACTCCTGACAAGACAACCTCACAGCGCATAATAGCCCAGTCAACAGAGCTGAAGTGAGGTCAAGTCTGGAATTCTAATTTTAATTGAGCTACTGTCTGGTTTAAATTTTTTTTTACCCTCCTGATTTTTTTCGTTGTAAGCTCACAAATAACTTCTGTACATATTAGTTCTGAATAAAACACTGAGACATCAGTTTATTGTTTCTCTTAGTTGGAATTTATCCTAGAGGAAAAATATTGCCAAAAATTTAATAGCATATTCAAAATTAAGAGTGCATTTTGACTCAAATGACTAGGAATTAACCTAAAAAATACATATACAACCATTTTTTCATTTTCCAACAAAAACGGAAAAGAACTGCAAAAAAGAGCGTTTCAAACAGTCGCTGAATAATACTGTGACAGCATGTTTGTTATTAAAGGTAAGAACACTTCTTTTAGAAGACAGAGGAGTTCTACAGCCTAAGGCTGAAAGCTGAGTGTTCTGAGACATGGGCAGTAGGAAATTAAAATATTTGGTCTTAATTAATCCTTGATGCATGCTCAACCAAAATAGTGGAACTACCCCACTCAAATTTGAAATATTTCACTTCTCACAAAATCATGTTTATAGAGGAGCAAACCACATTTCCTTTCAAATGCCTAAAAGATGTGCTCTGAATTCGTTCCAAAGGTGCAGCTTTTCTCAGGCAGTTCATGTTGAGGACTGTTCAGTTCTCATGTGTGATAGAGTTGCTCAAGGCTGTTGCCAAATGTCACAGTACCACTTGTGACAGCCAGAGAGAGAAGGGGAGTTTTCACAATAGGAATTGTGCAATCAGATTAGCCAGTCCAAGGAGGATTATAAAGATGTGAATGATCAATGCTGGCCACGTCAGCTGCCCAGCACGATGCAGGGAGATCACGTAGATGAGGGATGGATACACAAATACAAAGGCCAGACCACATGTTGCTCCAGAGTATCTGGGGAAGGAGAAGAGGAAAAGGAAAAGGAAAAGAAGAAGAAAAAAAAAAAGAATGCTTTGTGTTAACTCTTATTTCTTGTTTTTTTTTTTTCTCCTTCAAAGCAACAGTGTGACTGAACAATCACTATATGCAGTCACTGAACACTGATTTCTGTTCTTTGCTGTCCTCTACCTCCTTCACTGCCATTTAACTCCCTCTCCCCTGCCTCCCTTAGTAGCTGCACTCTGATGTTTCAGTCACATTCCCAGATGTTTCTGGGGACTGACTCCCTAACCTTTGACTTTGATGTTTTTACTTTCTTTTGGGAAATCTGTCAACATACAACACAAAAAGTCTAGACAGTGCATCCTTTGTTAAGCATCCTTTACTGTCGGGACTCCTAACAAATCATTTTCCAGACCTGAAAAAAATCCACATGCCCCTCCTGGTAATGTGAATAATCACAGCTACTGAAACATTCAACTGCTCTTACAACCACTCCTTTGCTTACCAAAACCTTCGCGTTATTCTCCCTATTGTGAGTTTCCACCTACTAAGCTATAATGCAGCCAAATGTGCATTATTAACTAAAATCATTTGTTATTTCAAACATTTGAACTGTCCCTTCAGACAGTGGAAACATTACAGCATTGAGTAACCACCTGCACAACAGAAAAGGCAAATATGTAAGTTAGGTTGTATATAGACAGTTTATCAGCTGAAAATTCATTGTTCAAAGTGTTTGATTACAATGCATAATCAATAGATTAGCAGAAGTCAGGACCATTTTGTAAACAGAAAAATGTATTGCATATTATTTATTTGCAATTAATAACTGGACCCTCTCTATTACTGGAGTAAGAAAGTTTCCACTAAAATAAGAACAACAACAAAAAGAAGAGATGGAGAAAAAACTCAAAGATCAGCTACTGAGCAAAAGTAAATTAGTTTGCTAAAGTGGTTAGATCCACGCCTGTCATTGTGGTTTTATAATCGTAGATTTCTATATTTTTACATAACTCTCTCTCCCATTTGCTGTAGAAAAGAAGCAAACCAGCAATAAATGAAAATGACTACCTATACAGTGTTGTCAAACATAGAAAATAAAACTGATTCATTTCCTCTAATATTTCTCAATTATATAGAAAATCTAGGTGTATATAAACGTGGTGAATTTAAGACAAGATGTAGAATGATTTTTATGTTAGCTTTCCCTTTGGAGTTCTTTGTTTGCTTGGATTTTTACCACGGACTTTCAAATCAACTTCAAATGGCCTTAAAAGAAAAACTGAGAGAAACCACATGGTAACTGAACAGCTTTTATACTGACACAATATTCCTTAGCCTGGATAATTACAAGATCCTCAGATAAGGCTTCAGTGAACTTGAGGAATCATCCCAGTCACCTCAGATACAAAGTCACAATTACAGATAGCTGCTTATCAGAGCTGATCACTTGGATCTTAAGTCATTATTTACAACTTACAAAAGCATAGGCCCCACAAAATATGAATACACTTCTAGTTCCTTTTCAACTCAGAGAGGTAAACATGTAGTAACACCACAGGTAAATTCAATGTGAAAGCAACGCTTACCTTATGATACCTCCTATATTTGGATAAAACCTTGCCATTGCTACTCCAGCTCCTACAATTGCTATGTTCAGGACCAGCACATGGAAAACACTAAGAGAGGTTAGGAAACAGTGTTAAAATTTGTGCTCTGTTATTACAGAATAAGACTATCATCCTTCATTTACATTAACATTTAACTGGTACATGGATGGTGTTGCCATTTGTATGACTTATGTTTGCTGTGAAATTAATTATCTTTAATAGGACATCTACTGAATATTCTGAGTGCCAAACTCTAAATATCTAGTGTTTGGACTCAAAATATTCTTAAGGAGCAAGTATGTGTAATTTGGCAATTCTTCTGAAAACACCATACGTGGTACACAGCACTCAAATATTTCAGATGGATATTCAAATACCAAAGAAACAATACTGTGTAACTTAATTCCCACAAGAAAGAAATAGCTTGTTCCAGAGAATGATCCGAGTTGGTCAAAGTGAACTAATGGAAACCAGAGGAAAAGAAAGGATACATTACTGAGTGGAAAGCATGACATAAAACAATAATAAAAATGTTAATATTTGGCCCCTAATATATTTTGCTAAGAGGACAAACATTTAGGATGTTGGACCTAATTTAATGAATGACCTACATACTACTTATACTAGAACTTTTGTTGATTTTGTTTTTATAAATAATTTCCTGCTGCTTTCCTTTTTTTTTTAAGGATTAAAAAAAAAAAAAAAAAAAAAGGAGGGTTTTCGTTCTCCACAACCAGCTTTTAATGCATGGGACCAGCTTAGTGTAGTGATTATGTACAGAGCTCAGACTCAGAACATCACTTTTCTTCAGAGAATATAAAATGTTGACTCACCTTAACATAAGGTAAAGTCAGGAAATACAACAGAAAACAGTGAGATATTTCGGCCATTCAGCTGTTTGGGGGAGAACTCCTCCCCCAAAGTTTTCCCAAATGTTGCTGGTTTTCCTCACTGCACGGTTGACCTTTCAGATCGATGGCAGTCCAGAGACAACCTGGCATGCCAAAAGACCGCTGGAGGGTTTGCTACATCAAATACTCTCCTAGGGCAGTAGTAACTACAGCTAAGCCATTAAGTGGCAGTGAGCATATACATTTAATTAACTTCAGCATCCTCAAAGGATAATCATGACGAAAACTGTGAAGTGAAATCCTAGGGAGGGAGGATTTAAAGAAAGAAATAAGAAACTGATTTTAAACACCCTCAAGTCAGAAGCAAGGAAATTAAAAATGCTAGACTCAGCATGGAGTCACAGGGTGAACACACAACTTAACAATATGGGAAACAGGAAAGCATGGAAGAAAACAAATCAGGATGATTTAGGTGACAATTTTTGAAAGGTGACTGAATCAAAAAAAAAGAAAAAAATTCTTCCTGAAAATCTCACTCAACTGACATGAGTCAAAGGCTATAAACCACAGCAGGTAAGGTGCAAGATGAAGCTAGGTGAAGAACAAATAGCTAAACATGCATACAAACAGCAGAAATTAATTTCATTGCATCAGAAGAAATACATCTGCAGGAGAACTGGCAGGTCTGCTGGGCTACCATGGAGCGAAGGGAGGACAATCTTTTAAGAAAGCCAAGTGATTTCCTCCCATCAATTTATTTTATCTTTCAGAACAAGATGTTAAAAAAAAAGTTTAAAAAACCGATTGGTACAAAGTATTTTATACACAGCATATAATTAATCAAGGGAATTCTCTGACACAAATATCACGGTAGCCAAGAGCCAACAACAACAATACATTAGCTTTCTATACATCCAAGAAGATCCACAGTCACATAAGAGCGCAGCAGATAAACCACATGCCTCTGGCCCCAAGTCACCCGTTAAATGATGCCATTGCATACATACTTTAGAAAAGAAAGCAGTTTCCCAATATAGGACATTTTGGTCATCTTTCACAGCACCAGAGAGAGAATAAGAAAATAAACAATCCTTGGATTCTGTCCCAGTATGTCATTTTCTATGCTGTGATCGCCACTGGCACCCATCATGCAAAATGAAAGAAGCAATCAAGGTGCTTAACTTTTATCTCAAGTCTTTTGTTAGAAGCACAGAAAAGCAGCAGATTTTGTGATAACAGTCAGAAGACTACTGTGTCCAGCATGTCTATGCATGCATATGCCTTTAAGGCAGGCAGAGAGTTTGACACTGGTACACAACAGCAAGGAGAATCCTTCTTCCTGGGGCAGGGGTGGATTTTGTTCTCATAAGAGAAAGTTGATTCTCTGTCAAGAGGTGGAATTTAGACCAGTTGGGCTCTTTGAAAGCAGCATCACAGGCTTGCCTCTGGAGGACATACAATCCTACTTATTTCCTCTCTGCTTCAGACAAGCTGTACCTGTTCAGCTGACCCACAATGTGAAATATCAGAGCTTCAGTTCTTTTTGAAGAAAAAACATGCATCTTCTGCCTAAGCTTTGATGTTTGAAAAAATGAGCTTCTTTGGTCACACAAGACTACAGAGAAGTAAGTTATAACACGGCTAAGCACAGCAAAGCTTTGTTGCAGCACTGTTGCATTGTCAGTGCGTTGTCAGCAGCACGGTAAAATAGCTAAAGAGTGTGGGACAGAAGACTTGGGGATCAGTTTTCAGGCAAGAAAGGCTCTTCTAGAGTTGAAGAAATGGTTCCTCATTATCATCCAGCTGTAATCCATGGCCTGCCTGCAAAAGCTACGATATGAAACAGGACGCTGTTTTCATTAGAAATAGCCTTGGGTAGGCCAATTGTCAAGGCTAAGAACTACAAAGCAGCAAACTAATAGCTTAGCTCTTCATCATATCCAATGACAAATACATACGAAAGGAGTTAAAGCAAAGAACCAAACTGATCTGAGCAATAAAATCACTGCTAGGAAATAAAAATTATCTGGCAGCCCTGCAACACATGTGTGATCAAGCTATTCAGTCAACAGCCAGCTTTAACATGCATCAATCCAGAGTTCAACTGTTCCAGCTGACGCCTAAAGTACCATCCCTTGACTCCATCCATAGCAACAGCAGGTACCCACACCTGCAAACAACTGTTCATATGAAAGAAGTTTGGCTTTTAATATGAGGGAGCTTCCAGTTAATGTGAAACCTGCAGTGTGTCCATACAGAACAACTCAGAGCTTAACAATGAAGATAAGAAAGTTTACCACAGGGACTGAGTCCAAAAGATTTTTTTTTTTTTTTTTAAGAGGAAGAAATAGACAATTATAGATAGAAGGTAGATCTATAGCATTCTTTCGGCTGCAAAGGAAATTTAATATAAGGAGGATGGAATTGTTGAAATACACGTGATTTCACATGTTGAGTCATGGTGGGGTTAAACAAGGCTAAGTTGCCAAGTAAAAGAGATCCTCAAACACGCAGTCAGTATGAAATCAGCATATTGTCACACGTGCTACATACACAGACGGGTGGATGCACCATCAGTGAACATCCTGCACACTACTTCCACGGCCAGAGATTAAAAGCAAAAGGCAGAAAATCACGCAAACATCCAGAATCAGTCATAAGAGAAGACAAGATTTTAAAGTGTTTTCGTTTTTTTAATCCTTACGAGAAGGAGGCATGGAATCTCATGTTCTGCCTCTCTTCTCTTGCCTTATCCTTTTTGTTCCTTATTTATACACAAATTTTCACCTCCCTCCATACACACACCCAATGCACACGCCTAAGAGCCAAAGCTTGAGCCTTTGCTGGTCAGTCTTCTTGTTGCCTGAGAACCCTTAGCCCTTGACATTGATGATTTTCATAAAAGAAGCCAAATATCTACAGTTACTGGTGGAGAGCACTTTTTCATACGTAAAAGCCATAAAACTTCTTATTGCCAGGTAGGTTCTTTAGGGTGGATCAACAGGCTCCTCAATGAGGCATCAGTTTGTGTCAACAGGAGCTACTCCTTTATATTTGCAAAAAGTTTCCCCACAAAAACTGAGAGCTATGGGAGATCTGCTTAGCTCCCGGCTGTCAGTCTGATAGAATAGCAGAGAAATGACATGAATATGAAAACATCGAAAGAGTTCTTCTGGAAGCATGGGAATCCTGCACAGGGACCACCAGAGCTCTAGAATGGCCTGTAGTAGGATTTAGCTGGTGACAGGTGACGAACAGAGCAGTGCATTCACAGGCTCCCTCTGACAGACACTGGAGCCATGGTCCTGCTTTTCTCAAAGGGGATTTTCTAGACGAGCTAGTGACAGAAAAACCCAGAATACTGAAATTCGTACTAAAAAGGTGATATAAATACAGTGCTGCTAAAGTACCTTCATCAGCTTCAGCTCCTAGTGAAAAAACAGACAATCATCAAAATAAATATTTCTCAATCAGGTAGTAAGTCTTCACCAGCAGAGTTCTTAAATCAGTCAGGCATTTCCTCCCAGAAGCAGGTCCTGTGCTTGCTACCAGCGTTCAGTTACTCCCTATTGCATGGGAAAACCAAGGGCTGACCTTCTCTGGCTGTAAATATACAGAAGCTGGAGCTTGGGGATTAGTTGAGTGGATTTTGTGCTACATGTTTGGAAAGTCTGGCGTCCAAGAGACAGACACACAGAGATAGACAGAATGTACTACCTCACCACCATAGGCATAGGCTGGGAGCAATTTAACTTTAAATAGCTCCCTTTAAAACAAATACACAAACAAAAAAGTGAGTGGAGCTACCCCACAAGGACCTGTAGACAAGAACCAAGCATCTGTATCATCACAATGGTGAAATCATGAAAGCTTAAAACAGTAAACTTGAGATAACCTGAGCAGAGACTGGTGGGAAGCTGTATATTCTAGGAGAGAGCATGAGGGAAATGAAAACCATTCCTGTCAATGAGTAACTGGAGGGAGGAGATAGGAAGAGGCACATCTATAGAATATAAAGAACATGACTATTTTTCAGTGGCTGTGAAATCCATGTTTAGCACTTAAATCAATGGCCTTGTTTCCAAAGGTAACCTGCAGCAGTTCCTAACTATCTCCTTAATGCTGAATTGCTTACAATTTAGCATCAAAAAAAGCAGGCACTTATTTTGTTGCCTAATTTTAGGCATCCCATTTCTAGACCTTTGCATACATATTTTAGGATCCAGAAGAAACCTGAAATTTTTGACAGCCTCCTCCCAGACCTGTATGCTCCTGCTGATGCCAAAGAGGAAACATACATTTCTTCTTGGGGTATTGTTTTCCTCCCCTCCATCAACAGTAATTCACAATATAAAATAAGAAACTCACTTAGAGATAAATGCCAACTTCTCAGCTGTGACGAAGTCAGACAATACTCCAAATATACAACATCCTACGTTTTATTTAAAAAAAAAATCTAAAATTGAGATCTGGATCAGCTCGTCCCTGGAGTTCACACAACGTTCAAATGCAAGGGTGGAGCCCATCTCTAAAATTAGCATGTGAAAAACTATTTTTGTAAGTAGAGCACCAATCTAGGTATCACAGCTAACAACTCACTTAGCTATTAGCTCTGTTTAAAAACAGAAGGATGATTACAAAGTAACGCCCCACCAGAAAGGGCATATTGTACCCTAAAAGCTTAACCTGCAGAGTGAATATGTGCATGCCCTTCACAATTTAAAGACTACTTGATGAAAGGTTTCTGAACAGAACAAAGAGATTTCTTTCTGTACAACTTTTCTTCTGCCGTATAAATGCTTGACACAAAGGAACTGTGTTGACAAAATTCCTATGTTTATTGAAAAAATATTCAGTCGCAACGAAAGAATCCCCCATTCTGCTCTGCGAAGCTGTAGCAGTCCTGATCTGCAGGCAAGAGTTCGTTTTACACACCTATTCATTCCTTGACTCCACAAACATTGTGAAATTAGCTTTTGAAACGTACCTAATGCTGCAAAGGAAACCCCTGAGAGCTCAGCCAAATTTTTGACAACAAACAGGAGGCCAGTTAAGAAAGTGTGCCAAGCTCTTGTCAAAGGGTAGACTTCTTACCTTGGGTAAACATTTCCAAAAACTTGTCCTAATAGCTGAACTCGTGCCAGATAGCCCAACAGTGGGTATACA